ACATATTTTTAATGATTATGGAAACAGCTAAATTAGCATGTATGCGTCGATTAACTGTATGTAAATAAATTAACAACCCTTTAATGAACCCGATTACTCGTGGAAGTTCACCTCGCTCAATTTGGTTTTTTACTTGTGCAAGCTGTTTGAGTGAAAAATGTCCCTGTACTGATGATTACTAGTTGCTACAAAAATCAAACCCAGTATAGTAGGCCTATTGTTCATTCTAGGCCTATTGTGGTTGGTATGGTATTTGCCATCTTGCAGACATGCTTCCCGAAGGAGCGTTTATCGCATTACGGTCTATAATTTAAAATGAAACTACTCTTGGCAAAGAAATGTCACGCACCATAACTTAGAGAAATTTTACTTTTCTTGGTTGAAAGAAGTTGTCAGCAATACAAAATCACAAAAAGTTTTCCGAAAATGCGACGGTGGTCGAAAAATGCGACGCCCGTCGAAAAATGCGACGCCGGCTGAAAAATGCGACGCCGGATGGCACATATGGAACACCATAAGAAGTACTGTTTGTCGAGAATGGACCCCCCAGCTTCAGCTTCGCGCGCGTAGTCAATTTAAAAGTTACTTTAGATAGGCATGTTTGGGCTACAAAACGTGTCCCTACACAAAATACTAGCAAGATTATCCGCCTTGAGCAAAAGCACCCCTTCATCGGTTGAAAAGAGTCATATTGGTGGGGAGTATATAATTATTTTGATGGTGGCAATATAATGGTGGCCATAAAGCGTTTATTTTATAGTCGGAACCAGCAAAGTGCAGTTCCTACCGTTCGCTCGTCGCCGGCGCGCGATCTCGCTCCGGCAATTCGATATTTTTCTCTTTTTTTCCCTCCTTGCTGAAAATATTCTCACAAATACACTTTATTCGTCCATCCAAAATCGATCAAGATAAACCAGTGACTTGAAATACCGTCAAAAGTCGCAGTACGCCACGGGTGATGGGACGAAGATTGATTTTGTGTTCACCAACCGACAAGAAAAATTTAACCGTTGTCAAATCATATATCATATAAGTTATGACATTGATACTGTCTCTGCATGGGAATTACACAAGCGAATTAGAAATAAAGTAAAAAAAAAAAACACTACCAAGAAGGCATACTGGGACTATATTAATCGTCTGTTTGCTGCCACCGACAATAAACTGTGCTTTGGGGGATTTGTTCGAGACCACAGGAAGTCAGTGTTCTTCAGCTTTTCAGATCTCTAACCAGCTAATTCACGATCCACAGCATGTTGCAGAAACATCCAACCATGGAGGAATAAAAACCACATTTTCCTCCATGATCCAACGAACACTTCTCTTTGGTACATTCAGCAGCTATGACAACAGCCGATTTCCCTGAATCATGTTCCCTCTTCACTTCATCTTAGGACACAGTCGTGACACATTTTTAACAGTTGAGCGCAGGTAGGTCTGACTGAACAATGGAGGCCCTATGTCGGATTGCGTTACGCCGTGTTAACTGATGGAAGTCAGGGAAAAGTAAAATATTTGACAAAGAATTTAAGTTTCTTTTAAAGGCTGATCAACAGATTAAATGATCCATTGTGAAGAGCATCAAATCAGCTTTAAAATTACCAAGAACTCTTGGGTTCCATGGGAGCGCGACTGAGGACGAACCCCAGAATTGAATGGATACTTTAGTCATGACACCAAGATGAATCTTTGACAAATATCAAACGACTCAGTTATCAGGATTTTAATATGTTCAGGTGCGAAAAATAATGTTTTATGAATATTTTGTTTTGCATCTTTATGATATACTACAGTGCAGATTATCACCACAAAATACGTAATGATGACTGGTGAAGGGGAAAAAGTTAACAATTGTTATCTTGATGAAAAGGTTTCGACAAAGCGTTAAACACCGTAAGGCACAAAAACCAGATATTGAAATCCGAAGTCTACAGTGACTATGAAAATAAATACTAAAGATTTTATAACTAATATGTTACTACAATCCACTGTTCTAGAAATTAAAACGGGAAATATAAGCTTTTATGTGGTAAAAAGTCATTTTTCATAAACACACCGTACATTATATTAGGTTTTATGTAAATGCACTTAGTTCTAGTGTCGAGTTTTTTTTTTAAAACTAAAGCAAAGTGTTTTAATTTCAAAATGCATACGAAAGTGCTCCATTTTAAAATAAACCAAATCTTCGTTTCTCAAAGACCTGCGGGTTCAAGATTGTCACTTTATAAAATAAATTGATGAGAGGATAGTTTCTGAAGAAAGCTGTTCATGGTCTTCTTTCAAATCATTTGAGCTAGCTGAAAAAAATTTGATCGATAAATAGATAAATTTTCATGTAAGTTAACCTGCATCAACAAGTGCTTTAAAAATGACTATAAAGCATGAGTAAAAATACTGTACTTGGCGAGTAACTATACACTCTGCAAGTTTTGTCTTAGGTTACTTGCAGTAAAATGTCAGAGCAGATCTTCAAAAATAATAAACCATTTCAAAATCTGTATAATGCGACTTGCAACAGTGATCAATCATGCAACAGTATAAAACAACATTTAAATATTTGAAAAGGTTAAACTCATACAAAAAACAGCATTTCTACAAAAACTGAATATATACCAGAACCACTACTTTTTATAATTGTATAGGTCATATTACTGCATACAAGCTGTTTCAACAAACTGGGACAACTGAATTTTGTTCTTTCATATATATGGATTATTACATACCTAGTTATAAAATAAATGCTTCCATGACTCTTTTAATGTTATTTTTCAAAATGTTCACACCAAAAAAAAAAAGGAGTGCATTTTCTTTGAAGAAACTTAGTATTGGAACTGTCAGTTGATTTTAAAGTTTTCAAATTTAGTAATTAGGTAGTAATTAGCTAATGAGGAAACACATACATGTATATGTAACACACAGCTAACAATTTTTATGGACGTTATGTATAAACAGATCTATGACCCGCCATGAATATGAAAAATGAGTACAAACTACCTGTATTTGCAAGCTATTGCCAATTATCTGTATGTAGTTTTAGAAAGTGATCTTTCTCAAATACTAAAGGTCCAGATGATATTTTGCCAAAAACTGTTAAACATGCATTGGATGTCTCTTGCATGTTTTCTTCTAAACATTTGTGTAAGGTCCTGTTACTCGCAATGAAATACAATCATCAATGCAAAAACAACTTTACAAAAAATGTTCAGTGTAACTATCATTATGATCAATCATGCATTATGAACAGGAACCAACACAAATATGAACAATTTAAATTGATGGAACGAATGAGAGCAATTAATAAAATAATAACACATATTATTACTAAAACACAGAAGAAATTTTTAAAACAAGAAAGTTTTAAAAGCCAGGAAGATTAGCTTATAAAGCCCAAGTATGAGAATTTTGGATAACAATGGGAAATGTATTTCATAATTCTGGTTTTTTTTTATAAAAATGCTGCCGTAAATTTTATGATCCTGCAATCAAGCATGCCTTTGAGTGCAAACTGAATGGAATGATTCAGAAATTAACCAGGTGCATGTATTTCAATACTACTAGAACATGTAAAATGACACACAATGTACAAGAAGCACATTATCTCAGTCTCTAAACTGTGGGATGTCAGCGGCAGCCTGACGCTCAGTGTCACAACTGCTGCACATCACTTCTCCGTGCAAGGCGGTGCGTGCAGGTGTTGCAAGGTTAGTTCAACCTGTGGTCAAGCCATGGCCAGGTTATGGGGAGGGACTTCCAAGTACAATGATAAAAAACAAGTTGGAGGGGCAGATGGTGGCGCTTATTCCCAAAGCAGTTGGGATGGAATGCACGCGTAGCTGAAGATGAGGTGAAGCCTTCATTAGGATAGGGGTGTGATGGGCATATCTTGGACGTCGGTTGTTTGAAGTATGTTTCCTTTAAAAAAAAAAGCCATCGAGCATCGCTGCTTCACTTTATTAAAAACTTCATTAAACAAGTCATACACCCTGTCGCACATCCAGTCCGCCGGGCAGTCGCACGTCAAATCAGTCGGGCAGTCGAGCGTCCAATCAGCCGGAAAGTCGCACGTCCAGTCGGCCGTGCAGTCGCACATTCAGTCAGTATCTGCAGAAACACAAAAAGACTCAAACGAGAGTAACATATCAAAACAACAATTTTAGTGGAAGGACAGACGAAATAAGCGCACGGCACAAACAAGTCACAAAACGCGGACAACAGTTAAAAGGACAAACATGATCTGGCAAAGGCAGGGCCGATCACCTCCTGAGGGTACCAACAGCTACTTGTGCTACCGCAAAAACAAGGAATGAACACTCAAATTGCACACCGGGCAGTCGCAAATCCAGTCAGTATCTGCAGAAAAACATAAAGACTCAAACGAGAGTAACATGTCACAAAACGCAGACAACAGTTAATAGGACAAACACGATCTGGCAAAGAATAATAAGTGTGAGAGCGCCTGCTGGTATGTTTTATGTAAGTTATGAAAAGTTTTTTGGTAGACAGCGAAACGGCAAGTGCTCTAAAAGCTGAGCTGGGTGGTTGTTTCTGGCCATTCGCAGTCACCGCATCAAAAGAAAAAATATCCAACTAATAACCGCTGCTTGAGCGAGCTTGCGCACCTGGCAGAAATTTTCTTACAATTCTCTCCGCGTCATTAGCTGTGCCCCCGTGTGACGTATTTCCTTCAACAAAATCTGTTCAGGGCCATCAGCCCCCCCCCCCCCACGCGCCCTGTTCAGGCGCTGGGCGACGCGCGAGCGTACATTGTACATATGAAGGGACGCTCCCGAGTTGCACATTTTGCTTGCCACTTACTAGCGACAACCTGTTGTACGTTCACGGCGTTCGAGAGGACGATCCTTGAATAACAAATGGAGCTGTTCGTGACCGTACGAGAAAAAAAACCGCCCCAACCCAGCCAAGGCGATTGGCAGTGGTCTAAAATTGTGCCAGAAACTGAAGGGGTAGAGTGGAGCGTGGGATGGGGGACGGGGCATCGTAGGGGTGACTTGCCTAGCCACGAAAAGGGGCTGTCCATAAAGTACGTACGCACGAAATGCCGACTTTTCAGACCCCTCCCCTTTTACGCATGGCGTACGCAGTGGCTCCAACCCTCTCCCCCTCTGTACGCATATGCAGTCCACACATCTTTTAACATCCCAGGGTACCTTGCGTTAGCATCATTTAATGTCACAGACTTGTACATTGTATATCTACCGTACTACTGTTATTTGCACGTAGCTTCCAAATTTCAAAACAAATAACAGGTTTTTATATCGGTATTTCTTTATTAACAGCCCTGGAAAATATTTACTTGGCAGCTTAAAAAAACAGGTTGCTGAATAAAACAAATTAATCCCAGTGCCCCTTTCCCTCTTATGCACGTGGTTACTTTGCACCTTACGTTTAAATAAAACAAGGAATTATAATACTGTTTTGCACCTGATTCTGGTATTTTTTGTATGAAAGAAATGTATCAATATGATGGAAATTCACGATAAAGGCAAATTTCCGGTTTGCGTACGGTATGCACTGGCTTGACCATCCTCTGTAGGCCGCTATATACGCATGGTATTCGCAAGTGTACCAAGCCCTTTATACATAATACTTTATGGACAGCCCCAAATTCAAAAGACGGGGGGGGGGCAAAACCCGATTTGCCTGTCCTCCAATTCTCCGGTCTTTGAAGAATTCGCAGTTGGAAGCTGTGGAGAGGATTGCTATGCATGTATTTCTATGAAATTTGAATGGAAATCAAAAAGGCTTAAATTTCGTAGTGGACTGGGAGCAGTGAGATGTCTACTGATTTCATTGTGACCTCTTTACCCCATTACGGGCTGATCATCCGTGGACAAAACACTCTCCCCAAAGTCACTGGATTACCTGCTAAAATTGAAAAGCAATTTAAACGACTGTTAAAATAATTTACTTTGCTGTGCTTCCTAAGGACTCTGATCAGTTTGTGATAATTATGGGAAGTTTATTTACTGGCTTAGATTAATACCGCCCTCTATGGACGTTTCATCTATATTTATTGAAGTATGAAACCTTGACGTAAGATTAGGCGAGGGCCAAACGTAAACGTGAATTCACAGACTGGTCCCATGTGTGTGACCACTGCGTGTATTATTTACATTTACTTCCCGAAAGTTTACCCTGGGCCTTGGAGTTACCGTGAGTATTTTGCAGTTGATCGTTAAATCATGAGTAAATCGTACAGATGTGAGTTTCAGTTAAGCGATTAATGTGGGGATGATTAGCAGAGGCTCAACTCCTGTCCAGTAGACTAGATGAATGTCAGACAGCTGCGTGTATACCCAGCGTGTATAGAACTCTGGAGTCCGACGTCCGCTCCTCTTTCTCGTGGGAGAGGATTGGAGCGGACGTCGGACCCCACAGTTCTGGGGGTCGGCGTGTAGGCGGGCCCAGGTGGCCATGCATGCTGGCGGTCTGGGTCAGACATGGCCACCAGATCATAATCAGCTGTGAAAGATGTTTGTTTTGGCCAAATAAGCCATTTGCGAGTTAAATTTGAATAAAATCCGGTAGGGCCTACACCGAGTTCTTGAAATTTACGTGAACATAACAACTTGAATTCTCAAACCACTGTTGCCATACCTCGTGATTCAGGGCAAGCTTTTGCTTAGTTACATAAGAGATGCCTTGCAACAATACACTCTTCTCAATGGATAAGAATGGCACAAAGGAACCAGTCCATTCCAGAGATGGTAGTTGCTATGCAAAAGCTTGCCTCGAATCACAAGATATAGCAACAGTGTTTTTAGTCCGGGGAATTCAAATTCTTACATTTCTGTGCAATCAGATAACACAGTGTACCAGATTTTATTCAAATTTAACTCGTAAGTGGCTTATTGGGGTTCTGCCAATGTCATGTGACAGATGTCTATCGAGGAAGAGCTCCGCATCCGGCAATCACAATATTTGAATTTACAAACGCCAGCATGGTTGTAAAAATTTGACAGAAAAAGACTTTTCTTTTAATAGACATGTCAGGGTCGGACGTTTTAGTTTAGCAAGTCAAGTTCTTGTCAAGCTTGACTTGTCTAAAGTTGCTTCATGGTCTCCATGCCTGTCTTCAAGATGAGATGGATTAAAAAAAACAAATTTTGGTGCTGGTGAAGCTGTGCCATATTGTATGATACAGAACTCTTCTTTCCTTTTGGGAGGGGAGGTTTTTCAGATGGAAGTTCAAACCCTTTCTGTTTCTTGTCCCAGCCTACTTTGTTTTTCCCCCACCTGGTTGTGTTCGGGCATTCTGTGTGTAACAGTATTTATCTGCATATATACATGTATACATACATGTACATGTACATGTATGTATGTTGAATCCCTGTTGGATGGGACGATACCAGTTGTTATCAAAAGTGTCATGAAACTTATGGGAAAATAGGACCTTCGTTTGAATAAAGCCTCCTCTATTTGTGAGGAAAAAAGGACAAAGAACTGTATTCCTTGTCTACAGTATGTGGCCTTATAATTCCATGCTCTAGACACTGCAGAGGCAAGCTTGAGATCTCACTTGATATCCAGTAGTTGTCTTCACCCTTTTGTAAAAGTTGGTGGGAATGTTGAGGGCAACTGATCAATTGGCGTGATTGTGCGATTGCAGTGAGCCATCAGTCAATCCATTATAACTTTTCTTCCTTTTTTGATACTGTCTTCTACAACCACGAATAAGAAACAACATGTAGTTGTCTTAGGTGAAAGTTTTGACTGCAAGGTTGACTGATCAAACACAACTTGACCAGTCATGCAGATTGAGCAGTTGTGCCCAACAGAAATACATGTATTTGAAGAGACATTTGAAACTTTTTGTGTTGGTAACACACCTGAATATTCACAGCTACAAGATAATCCGTGAATTCATTCTGATTACTTCAGCACTTTCAATGGCTGAATTGGATATTTGTGCATGTGTTTAATTGAACTCTCCAATTTGTAAGTGTGACATCAATTCAAACCACACCCACTGCACATGGAGCTTCATGGAACCAAGGATGGGACTTTATGTTTGATTTGAAAAATGTTCAGAAAACTTTCTCATACCCTTTAAATGTTTAGCCAACATTTTACAGAGGCTGTCGTTTACTTCGGATTTTTCATCATGCATCAACAATGTACGTGGTCCAACCAATTTAAATGTAGATTGATGTTGGGATATTTGAAACAAGCAGTGTTTATTGTTTCAGAGTCCACCTTTTTTCTTGAAACACGCATGGATGCTGAAAGGGAAAAGTGTTCCGAAAATCAGATTACATTACACGCATCATTTACAGTAAAAATGAATGCCAGATTGTGTCAATGAAATCGTCAAACCTCTAGAAGGGGACAGTTGCATTTAAATGTTTGGGAAAATCTTTAAACGGATTTGGAACCTTTTTCGTTTAAATGAGTAAACGTCCCATAGATGGGCCCATGGAACCGGAAGGTTATGTGCAACTTGAGTGCTCCTTCAGTGGAAGCTTGCAGTCATTGGTGCGTGCCTGTGTATGACAAAGTCACTTATGAACCAGATAGCTTGACGTTTGTGTGAAGGTTTCACTGTTAATTTTTTACTGTTTCCATGTACATCCTATTTTAATACTTCGTTTGATAAAACATGAAATTTTGATCAGATTTTTTTGGGGGGGCATACTTGTTTCCGTACAGCTGCTATGATGTGTCTCGTTGAATCCTTCTGAGAAGTGAAGGACCACATTCCTATGACAACTCACCATGACGTCTCTCATCGCTCGTTCTCAAGAGTACCTGAGTTTTAGAAGTACTGTTTCATTGAGAAAAGTAAGTTGAAGATTATAGCTGAAAGTCGTGGCTGGGGCTGTTGGGAACACACAGGTCTATAGACAATAGCTGCAGCCACTTTCTGAGGATGGTGTAGCCTTACCATAGTTACCTGACACGGACATTAATGCCCCTTCAAAGTTAAACTGTTAAAGAATGAATCTCCAGAACTCTCTTTTTCTAATTCACAATCAGATTTTTTGCCTACTAGTGGCTAGCAGGCCGTCAGTAAAAAACACAATAGTGATAAAACTCACAAAGCTGAACAACTGACAAAGCTGTGTTTGCACAGCCCCCAGTGTGGAGTGGTTAAGCCCCTCACATTTTCAGAGATATTTTGGATACGATCGGTCAATCAGCATGTGCGACGGTACGACAGTGCTGTGTCGTTAGTCTAACCTGTGTGATCTCTGAAATCTCTAACTTCACGTCCCATTTTGAAACAGTATTCCACTATGCGAATTGGATAGAAAAGGCAATTAATTACTGGCAAATCTTGCAATATTATTGACCAGTTTACCAAGATTAGACAGATTGATCGTGCCCAATGTACATGTACATGTATGTGCAGATGGTGTTTTGAAGCTGAGATCTGTACTTCAGCCATGCACCCATCTATGGCAAATAGCTGCATTTTATGATGCTTAACCCTTACAACAAGGATAACATGAGTGGAGACCAGTTCTCAACTAGTTGTTGCTTTGAATGGTATTGTTGCAGCTTTGTTGTAGCAATGCTGCTCGGTTCTGCTATATCCTCATCAACTATTCCCAAGGCTTTGCATAGATTGAGCCCATCAACCATCATTTGTCATAGACTCGTGCACAGTCGAGTTACAGAACTGAGCTTCATACATGTACGTCTGGTCACATACATGCCACCCCTTTTATCTTTACCACGGTCAGGTGGCAGTTGATGATGATGACAGTAAGTACTGGACAGTGTATGACGTGGGGCCCCGTTGCGTCAAATGCCCTGTCATCTTCTTTCCTCCCGTCAGTGGAACGGCAGACATCTTCTTCAGACAGATGCTTGGTCTATCCGCCAAAGGCTACCGAACTATCTCAGTAAGCTAGGAAACAAAAATAGGAATTTATTTGTACCTTTAGTAGAGCAATACAAAGCCACAAACAGCTGCAAATGCTTTGTGTTGGTTTGCTTATTAATAACAGCCTTTAATAGACAATAAATGTTTACAAATTCAGTGGTGAGAATAATTTCATAAGGCGCCAGGTGAAATAATATTCTATCGGGGGGGGGGACCAAGTAGAATAGAACATTAAATGGAACGTTCGCCGGAACATTTGTAGTTTAATCTGTCAACAAATGAAATCATTCTTTCTTTTGCATGAATGCGAACATTGCTGTATCCGGTATGTATTTTCTACATATAAGTCAAGCCACAAGTCCTCAGGGATATGTGACCATGTGGCTCAGGTTTGTGGCTCCCAATCTTACGGTTGGGGGTTCAAATCTTGCAGCTGGTCTTATGGTGTGACTTTGGGCAAGTTACTTTTCCCTATGTGCCAAGGGAAGTCACACGGGGTGTGGGTGTGGCACTCCCCATTTGTCAATTTTGTTGCTATTGGCGAGAATGGAGTAAGAATGTTAAATTGTAGTAAAATCTCATAACCTGAATTTGGCGACTTAGTACAGTAGCTTTCCGTTATAGCACAGCCTGATATAACGTTCTTACTGATATAACGCTCGATTCAGATTTCCCCAACTGCACGCCCATTCAATGTGTACATTTTTCTGTGGTTATAGTGCTTCCATTTATAACACTTTTCGGTATATAACGCTCACGATTTTCGGCCCCGAGAAACATATAAAGCATGTGAAATGATTCCGGTTATAGTGCTCTTCACCATGGAAAGTCATATTCTTTGAAAATCAATGCGTATGAAACCACATTGCAAAGCCGCTGCGATTGACCGGTCATCCTGGACACCTTGTACTTTAGCCATCACACAGTGCAGACACACACTGGGCCGGCCGTCCATGCAGCGCGATCGTGAGCACATCCTCACCACGGTGAGCCGCGTCCGCGTGGCTTTGCTGTGGCGACATTGTTACTTGTCGTGATTATTTTCCTACTTCTATTTATTCTCATGGTGTAGTTTTGTACACAAAAATTGAGATACTACATGTACATGTAGTATTTTGTTACCTAAAGGTTTCTTTCTACCGATAAATAAAATCAGCCGCTTAAAGTGTCTGTGTATGTTCGTGTAGCAAATCTCGTCTTTTCGGCGATTGCGATCGGCGTGACATGTCGGATCTGATTTCACTTGGGTTTTCTGATGACATATCGCTTTCTGTTGTCACATGGTTATTGGGAAAAGTCAGCGATTGGACTGTCCACGTGTGAATGGGTACGTAACAGTAGTCAGGATGTCGCGGTGGGTGTGGATGCAGGCTTGTGCCGTGATGCAGCATGCACGAGGTCCTGTGGCAGTTTTTTCTTATCGGCATCACAAAATCACTGAGATAAACAGGATACAAGGCATATACATGTACTCTAAAAATTACAGTACTTACATCTGCCAATACAAGTAAACGAAATTCACATGCATGTACATGGCACATATGTACATGTAGATACATGTATCTATACATGTACAGAGAAGGACATGTGCGTTGCACATGTTGCTCGTCCATCCAGTCAGTTATAGCGCTATGCGGTTATAATGCCCAATTCTGTTAGGTCCCCTTGAGAGCGCTATAGCAGGAATCTACTGTACCCATTTTTCCAGAGCCAGTCACAAATACATGTACAGTGTATGTACTTGTTAGGATAGATGTACTGTACATGTATTTATTGTGTTTAGCTGTTTGTGGTTGATAATACTGGATTAATTTGTTTGTTCGGACCTTCCCCCCCCCCGGAAATGAGATGTTTTCAGGAATGTTGAAATGTTATTAGCCCATTGACCAGGCATAATACTACACCATTCATCAGCACCATTCGAATAGCAGATGCTATCATTTTGGTTAGTTCTTCCATACAGTTCTGCATTATTCACCCGACCATTGTCTCTGCCAATATCTCATCACAGCTTGAATACCCTGTTCATTGGACACTGGAAGGCCTGTGTATCAGCTTCAGGAAACTGTTAGATCACATGCAGCTGGATATGGTAATATTCACATTAGTAGATGGTTGGGACTTTATAATGAAGACATTGGTATGGAACAGGGATGAAATTCTTTTTTTGGGGGGGGTTTCAGTATTTTTGATTCGAAAATTCTGGGTTTTCAGAGGTTTGGTCATTTAGGATTTGCTATACTTTTGCACTGACTACAAATTATATTAAAATTCTCTTAAAAATCACAGCCGTTTGGGACAAAACTCATGCATTTTGTTGTTTTGCTCAATTTTGCTTGGATTTCTCTAAATTCTCTTCACCCCCAAATCTCAACCATGTTGGAATGTGAATATTTGGAAATGGAAAGAATTTCTTCCTGTGGAGGTTAATTTTGCATTTTTTAAACTATCAAAACACCTTAACATGCACTCACCAACAGTTATTTTAAGCAGTTTAGTTTTAAGAGTGTGACACTGAGAATTTTGAGAAAATAAACAGGATTTTTTATCTGCCGGTTTTCCCAGGTCCACATATTCGGCTCCTCGTTGGGCGGTTTTGTGGCCCAGAAGTTTGCCGAGTATTCCTACCGTAGTCCCCGGGTCATTTCTCTTATTCTGTGCAACACGTTCATCGACACGGAAGTCTTCCAGCAGACTGGTGCGGCTCCAACGTGAGTGCTTGTGTTACTCACACATGTATAGGAGGATGTTAATTGTTTGTTTGTTGTCATGTTAGGGTGTGTATTTGTCCCCCTAGAAAATTTGGCTGTAAAAAATTATAAAAAATCTACCCACCTGTCCACCATAATTTTGTTTTTGGTGTAAACGGGAAACAGCTGTTTTGGTTTTTTTTGTTGGCCTCAGCTAATGCAAGTGACATGGCAGACTGCATAGTTACAGGGAACCAAGCCTGGTGGTTTCCATTGAATTGCACATACAGTGCAACAACATCTGTCCTATGTTGAATTGAGGCACATTTCGTTGCACCAAACAGAATTTGCTCTATGGCTGTGCTCAATATTGTTTATTTAGCCGGATATCTGGGGAAAACCTGGTCAAGTAACACTTGACCCTCCCACTCTCATGGAGAACTAGAAATAGACCTGTTAAACATGACATCACACTTTGTGCACATGTACACTTTGCTATGGAAGTGAGATAGGATGTGATCGATCAAGTCCCTTATAGGAAAGCGCACTAGCTCCCTTTGCTACACTACATAGACATTTCACAAGGTGGTCAATTGATTTTGAATGAATAGACAATCTCCTCTAGAATATGGATATGACATTGACACAATAAGCCTTTTGTGAGTTCTTTAAATTCACATGAACATACATTGTAACAATTTCATTGAATTTTCCACACCTTGTGATTTGGGGCAAGTTTTTTTTAGTTGCGTAAAAGACGCCTTGCATCAATACACTGTTTTCAGTGGATAAGAAGGGCACAAAGGAACCAATTCATTCCAGAGATGGTAGCAGCTTTGCAAAAGCTGGCACTGAATCACGAAGTATAGCAACAGTGTCTTTAGTCTGGGGGACTCAAGTTGTTATGTTTATGTGCAGTCAGATAACTCAGTGTGCCAGATTTTACTCAAATTTAACTCACAAAAGGCTTTTTCAGCTCTGACCCTCAAATGTGACTCTTTATATGCTGGATATTTAGATGATTTTGTTTGTATGAATGAATGGTTCAGGGTGTCAGGGTCATTTATCTCATCAGGTTTTGGATGATTCCGGGATTCCTTCTGAAGAGGATGGTACTGAACAACTTCAGCCGTCAGCAGCACGACATGGACATTGCCAATTCAATTGACTTCATCGTGGAAAGGGTAAGACATCCCCTGAGACGTGATATTAGTTCCCTGGTCCGAGGCAACACCCTTATTTGGCCTGTCAAACTGGGTTTGCCTTTCCATGAATGTAAACATTACAGATTACATGTAGGTGGATTAGCTCCCGAATATGCATGAGATGAACTGAACAGTGGCTGGTTGTTTCTACCTTTCTAGCTGGAGTCGTTGAGCCAATCAGATCTTGCCAGTAGACTGACCATCAACTGTATGAGTTCCTATGTTGAACCCCAGAAACTGCATGCACTGGACATCACCCTTATTGATGTGAGTTGGACAAAACAGAATCGTTAATTACTTATGTGTCTTTGGGCCTTTTATAAGAATGTTTGATTCAAAATTTGTTACATGTACTGTATGTTCACTATTTTCAACTTTTTAGGTTGAATTATTTGTTGAATTACCCGATTTACTCTTTTCCAATCTGAAGGGACCCATTTCTGTGTAGTGTCAGCATGTTTTTGTGCTTTAAAAAAAATTCTCATGAATGAACCATTTAGGGCTTTTCATTGCATATATGACTTCATCTGCCTTGTAGACTGCTGCAAAATGTGGATCATTTAGCAAGTTGTACCATAAATAGATGCAGTGTCCATGTACATAGGTGCTGCACTGTGAACTCTTATGTACATGTAATATGTGTACTAAGTCTGTGCAGAGGGTAACAGCCTCTCACAATGCTCTGTGGGAATCACATTGCAACTTCACATCATTGTGTGCCCTCAGGTGTTTGACGAATGTGCAATCTCTCAGCTAGTCCGAGAGGAGACTTACAAGTGCTACCCTGACGCCAAGCGAGCCCACCTCAAGAGTGGGGGCAACTTCCCTTACCTCAGTCGGAGTGACGAGGTCAACCTTCACATTCAGGTGAGGCTGACCTCAGCGGTTAACTGGACGCTCTTCTTGCACTGGACGCACTAACCATGTTGCTAGGCAGTGTAAATGTTTCAAGTGGTCTCAAGCCTGTGAAACCTTGACCCTGATGATGCCAAATCCAACAAGAGTCTGTGTCAGTTACACTACGAAACTTTAACCTTAACTGTCCTCCACCCTCTACCCTTTGGGGGATCAAGGCCTGTGGGGGTTATGAGTTAGTTACACAAGCTATCCAGTGATGCCCCAGTTGTGTAGACCAGCAAAACATTTTTTGATAGTACTTTCTCTTGGTGGGATCTTATCCTGTGGGTTGTTAAATTTAATGGCATCTAGAACTTTTGCTCGCAAAGATGCTGTGATTTTGTAAGATGAATTTGGCAGCTTAGCATGTAGGGTACACTGTTGTTCTGTTATGGTGCATGCTGTTCAACAAAGCTAAATGTGGGTGGTGCTCGGTTTAATATTAGGCAAAAAGTCACTTGAATCAGTATGTAAGCTGACTGGGGGATGAGTTGGTAACTGTACGGTGAATTTTCATAAGTGCACATGTAGATAAGAAATCAACTTAAGTAAATTAACTGCTTAATTTAAGAAGTTCAACACGCAAGTCCCGTTAGAAGTGTTGTATACATACATGTACATGTAATTGTAAAATCTGCTATTCCTGGCCCCATATAGAATACCGAAGAGGGACGTATTTTAAACCAGAAAGTGCAGGGCAAATGAATGGAGTACGTGCATGTGTTGGTTCGCGTGCTGGCTCTCACAATAATCACAATAATGCCTTTGACATCGCAAGTGTGCGTGTGACGCATTCACTTCGGTACTCTACTGGCTTGCGTTGATTTAAAAAAAAACTCCAGTGAACAGCTTGCACTGAGAAATTGCATGTTAAAAATTGATTCCCAGTGTGATATTGGGCACGTGAATAGAAGATAGGCAAGTGCCTTGGTGACCTAGCCTTGATCTTGTTGGTGGTCTTACATTCTTTTCTCTTTTTGTTGGGAGAGGGGTAGTCCTAACCATGTATTATTGTGCTTTCACCCGATCTGACTACCCATTGCTACTTATAAGTGAGGCCTGTGCAGTAAAATAGCCTGCAAGAACTATGATGCTAATATATTTTCATATGATGCAATACAGTGGCACACTTATAAGTGAGGCTAGTCAGTGTCTTGAAAATTTGGATGCAGAAGGCTCGAACAAGCCTCACTTATAAATGTGCCTACTGTATTGCATCATACGATAATATATTAGCATCACAGTTAGAGCTTGGCTATTTTTCTGCACAGGCCTCACTTATAAGTAGCGGTGGGTAGTCGGATCGGGTGGTGCTTTACATTTTGGATGAGTTTGCAGGGTCGGGGAAGGAAGATCTTGGGTACTGTCATTCTACATCAAATTTTGAGAGTTGTGGCTGGTTCCTACTACAGGGAAATGTGAAAGGAAAGCAAATTTGACGTCAAAAAAGATTTGCAGCAAAATTCACTCAAGTTGAAATGTGTTTCACTTTTACAAATTTGCAGCGCAAATATTTGATCTGGGATATCACAAATTTGGGTTTGTGTTCGCTTTTGCTTGAAGTACAAACCAGCCTTTAAAGTGCAAGGAATAAGGCATCGGTTCTCTTTCCAGTGGTACATTTTTTTAGGATTAGAGGAAGGTCCCTGGCAGTGATGTAGTGCGAGTGCCAATCACTGTTCCAACCGAGCTACAGCTCGGAAGCAAAGTCCATTATGTTCATATGTAGGAGCATGTAAATTTTTTGCAACTCTGTGACTTAGCCAATAAGACTTTTAGAGACTGTGATGCCATTCTGAGCAGAAATCTGCTTGGGGCTTTTGAATGACTGATTCGTGTTAGCTGACCGTACAGTGTCATAATTATCGGCTAACCGTGTTTAATGAGGTATCAGCCTCTGCTGAAAGTGCCTGTGGGTGATTCAGACCAGGAATTGTGTATTTCAGCGATTTGGAAAATTTGGATCTACCATTGCATGGCAAATACACTCACGCAAATCGGAACCAACATGGACTCCAGCCCAGCTGCACGCACCTAGGACTAACCAGTTTACATGAAATGAATGGGATGGCATGGACCGTATGTCACCGCACAATGCCATGCTTTCCTTGTGTTAACAAGTCATCAGGTTGGCCAACAAAGGCCTGTAATACATGATAGCTGATTGGTAAAAATCCTGAGGGTCTTGAGGCGGTTCCCTCACTCAATTAATCACCCCATATGCGAAGATTTCATAGATGCTTGTATGCAAGTATCTTATTCCATCGACCAATAAAAGGCCGAGGGAATTAGGATTAACTGAATTGATCAAATTTGATTTGCAGATTCATCTGTTGAAGTACGTTCAGTCCCGTTACGACGCCCGGTCCCCACAGGAGGAGATAACCATCTCTAGCGTCACCAAGGAGACAGGAAGCAATGGCGACAGTCGCAAGGATGTGGAAGATAATGGAGAGAGTGCTGAGGAGGTAGGGGGCCATGGAGACAGTACCAGGGAAGCCACAGACCCGTTCGGCCTGAAGCCAGAAGTCTCATCCACAGAAAAATACTCAAGCGATAATAAGGAGGAAGGCCTTTGAATAAGTACACATTTCTGTGCCTGCTCATAAGCAGTGTCCCCCCATACACACATGCATTCCATATTGGCCTGGGCTATCAGACCATGACACTGGTACCGGTGAGATCCAACTGGTGGGGGTGTAAGGTCATGCATTACAAGGGTCTTTGCTGTATGAAAGCTTGTCGTGGTGGTATATGAGAAAGTCCGTGACTAGTGTCCTGAAACTTTAAGCCACTGGCTAATATAATAGGAGGAAGTCTGGTTTTGCGATTGGAAAGCAATACGTGTACATGAGCCTGAATTAACAGTTGTATATGTAAAGTGTAAATAACAATTTCAACATGTATAATTAACATTTAATTACTTTGTCAATGCACCTTTGAAAAATGAAATACTTTAATATTGAGCATTGTGTGCAAGTCCTATTTACACATTGCGGCAAATCTTTTTAGCCCCATTTTCTTTTATTAATAATGTACGTTTGCATTATTTTGACATGCTGTTTAATTAGAGTTTAATTATTACAAACTCTTTATCTTATTTGCATCTGGAAAAGCAGATCCTAACTATGGGACCAAGTACTCCTAACCGACAGTAAGAATTACCAGGAATCTCCAAAATAGTGAAAAGAAAGGTTTCAAACGTTTTGGTTGAGAACATTTTAATATGAAAACTGAGGACATCTGCATTTTCTTATTTGTTGATAATTTTGTTCTTCCACTCAGCATCAAAGACATAGACATACGTACGGACAGCAGTACTTCTATGACCTCTCCTGATGTCCAAAGGTTAATGGTTTTTTGGAAAGACAAAATTAAATGCATTTTGAAGTTGCCCCTTCTCTTTTTAGAATGTTTTTGCTATGAATATGGAATGGGTTGCTATTATGGTTACCTAGGGTTTACTTCCATCCACCCCAGGCAGAAGTGCCCCCTCGTCGTTTGAAAAGAGCCGCATTGATCAGGAGTGATTAGTTTGTTGGTAGTGATGCCACCGTAATGCGTGCATTTCCAAGATGTTTATGAACCAGTAAAGTTCAGTGCAGACCAAAGGAGCCTCTGTTGCTAAGAAAATAGCACCCTCTCTTGGTCCAGCTCAAGGCCAATAGGGTACCAGTTCCCATACTATGCGTAAATGCAGATCTGTACAAGTGGCCAATAGTGCATTTCCTTTAACATTTCCTTTAACAGTTAAGCTCAACTGGCCTTATTCACATGACCACCATGTTGAATTGAAAGCGAGGATAGTTTTTACTTTGGGAACCTGAAAATGAAAGCAATGAAATAAAAAGTCATCACAAATCAGTGTCATTTTTGCTGAGGAATAATTTAAAATTTGTTATTAATTATTTCTAAATGTTTTAATCACATTTAAAACAAAAAACAAAGTGAGGCATGGAACCCAAAATAGTCTGGCACCACCCCATTTAATAGATTGCATTGAATTAGATTCTGAGAACATGTCAAAAAATGTCGGGCTTCCCTATAAATAGAGTCTGTATTGATAGCCACTGTGTGTTCATTACAAATCAAGACTGGATGGCAGACCTTCGCCTGTATAAAGTGAAAAAGTTGTATTTTTCCCTCTGCCATTTCCTGGCAATTTCTTAAATTTTCCTTATTGCTTTGAATTGGAGGACGTGTCACCCCGGCAATCTGGCTATCTGTATACACAGGCACAGCTGATGGGTTAAAATGTCAAGCATGTCTCAACTCACGGCTTCCCAATTTGTTTTCTACACACACACAAATGTATTGTGCTGTGCATGGCTTGTGTTCTGGTGGCAAACAGCACTTTGTGAGTGCCCCAAAATACTGAAAAATATCAGGTCGTGGCTCGAAGTAGGCAAATTCTGGTCAGATGACTGGTGCAAATCAGCATTTGTGGCATTTTGCTGTATATGTGTATCAAACTTTAAATGATATATTTTGTCAATATTTGCAGCCAAAACTATTACCCTCTAGGAAGTGGTTATCACCTTCAAAGTTAAAGTGAAGAGCATTCTATCAAGGGTGAATGATTTAAGAAAAAAAAATCCTCTGATGCATTTGGTGGGAAGGCTTTTTAGGTACCCCTCCCCCATCGTTATCTAAGTATATGAATTACTTGGAAAAATGCAACTTCTTAATGAATGACGTTATATAAGGGATATATTCTTCCTGCAGCAAATTTCTAAGTAACAGCCCGGATTTGCTGTAAAACAAGGAACCTGTTTAAATGTATTGTAATGTGCTTAGTAACTAACAGTGCATGCGAGGCAGTGTCACAAAAACAAAAAAACTTGCTGCTTATAGGCTGTAAACTGTATATTCAGAGCAAAGGTATACTTTCAATATTGTTTTAAAAATCCAATTTTGTATAAATGCTTTTACGTCAGTGCATCACATGCACAGCCTGTGTCTTAAGTACATTTATTGTTGTGAAGGATAATGCATATATTAATTTCTATTAGTTACATGTGGGTTTCCAAGCAGCTGTTCATAATGGGGATATCCAATATGTGTGCTCATGATTGTGGCTGTGTAGTCATTGTTTAAACCATCTTCTTGATGGCCGTGTCCACAAAGTGTACACTGTTTATCAGTGAATTGTAATCACTACACTTCATACATATTCATGTTCGAGAGCAGAACTCCCTCTGGTTCATTTATTATCACATGTCAGTCACTAATGCTGTTCACCAGGCGCGCACCCAAGGATCTGCACACAAGTGTTTATACACTACCTTTAACTTGTTAGGATTAGTTTACAATGCATGCGCTTCATGAAGCTACATGTACACGTGCATGCATTGCCCTAGCTACCACTTACACAGGAAAAAGTGGCAGCTTACATTCATGTTGATTAGTGCTTTAAATGATGCTTGAAAATGTAATAGTGATTGAATGTGTATCAGGTATGGTAAAATTAACAGAATGTGGTTTATTTTGGGTGGACAGTTGATGATGTCAACTCCATGAGGTATAAGAACTCAACAAACTGGTTCCCTTGGCTGTGCCTCAGGGGTTACTTTGTCAACTTACAATACCTTGGGGCGCTAGCATCGACTGTCCACCCTCAAACCATGTGATATTTCTATACTGTTCCACATCAACACAGTTTGTACTCTTTATTATGATATTCAGTATTTCTATTTTATACAGGATTACAAATGTAACTCAGTGATTGTAATGAAAAAAGAGGAACTGATTATTTTGATAAACATATCGTAGTTCTGTCAGAATTTGTTCTGTTTTGCTGCAGAAAAAAATCAAAGTTTGCTCACAGATTACTTCGGTCTGCAAACAGCAGAATGTCACCCAGTGGTGCCCCCAATCCAGAAAGACTAAACTTCAGTTCCTTATCGTATTTATGCAGCAAAAATGACTGCCAACTGTCATACATGTGTCAAATTGACTTTTCGGTTCCTTCATGAGCATTATGAAGACCAATGGCATCAGCCTATCAGCTTAAACAAATACTACAATGTTGAAATACAAGATGATAATTAACAAATACACTTCAGTAGAACTATGTAACACATCATTTCCAGCTTGTCCTTTTCCAAGTATGCATACAGAGTAACAAGTGAACCAGGACCTGGGCATTACATGCACATGATACATACCCGTGTAACTCAAGTTGTAACCAGTGCATATGGTGTGCTACAGTGATGTAACATTGTTGCAGTGCTGTTGATATAGACAGAGCATATCAACCACAGTTTTCCCCGTTATGGCATATTGTAAGGGGAAATATTGAGGTAATGAATATACTTTACTTGAATGGGTATTTGAATTTAGAGTATGGCTGGTCTAGCATTCCTGTATCAGCAAAGCGTTGCCATGGTGAGACAGTGGAGAAAACATAAGGGAGTGTATTGAAATTGCCTTGAAAGCCAAAGCCACACACGCAGAAATAGCAAAATTTGTTCCATGCGAAACTAAAGCTTTGGTCATTTTTTAAACTTGTCCGTTCTTGGTTCAAAGACCTTCATGGATTAAGAAAAAAAATGTAGTCTTTGCCAAAAATTACTAAGGCCTATGCTCTTTGCAAACCGTTAAACTTGATAGATTTCATACAATTGATTTTGCACCAGGCGGCTTGCATTTCTCCACACAGTATCAATTCACTTGATTCTTGAGTTGACAGACTACAGAATTGGGCCATCCACAGACATACATGTATAAACACACAGACCACCCGTGTCGCGCATACAACCATGATTTTGAAAAGCGTGGGCAAGCAGTGGGCAAAATGATGGATGGCAGTACGTTCAGTGCAAATTGCACGACGCACTGGAAATGCATGTATTTATTTACATGTGCTCTCAAAATATGTTCCTGTTTTTACTTGTTGTATTGCTATCTCTTCTTTTCAAATGTTGCAGCCGCACTGTTTTGAAAATGCATGGGCCAGATTAAGTAAATAGATGATTTTTTTCACAATCAAAAAATGGCTTCATAGAATTTTATGGCTGGACTTCTTCAACTGTGTAAATTCCCTATACCAAGGGGTGGATTTGCCCAACACTTTTTGATTTAGTCGGGTGCCATCTCCGCTACGGTACCCCGCTGTTGTTTTGAATAGGAGCTGTCCGTCTATGAGTTTATACGTCTGTTGGGCAATCTTCCTGTAAATTGCACCCTCTGTTGACCAAAGATTTCGAAATGCTACACCCTGGATATACACCATGTACATGTATCTGCAAGGGTAGCAAATACCAGGTCGTACATATAGCGTCTTGAATAAAGACTACCAAGGCCATTTGGTTCAGTATGAATCACGTGTTTATCACATAAACATCAAACGGTGGAGTGCTTGATGACCGTCACAACTCAGTCAGATGAACAATAGTAAACGGTCCAAAAATTCCTGAGTACTGCCTGTAGCTTAGCTGGACAAGTGGGGCCATTAATATCAGCAATATTTGTGTTTTCTTTGCAATTTACTACAACTTATCACAGTGATCAGGAAATAGAAAAAAATCTGATATTACATTTACTTTTGCCATTGTGAATAATTTGGTGCCATACAAATGCTGCAGCTGATGTCCATAACAGTAGACACATTGCCAAATTTGAATATACATGTACCAGCATTGGTTTGAATGAGCAGTTGTGTACAATTCACTCCAGAAGGCGCTGTTATTTGACGTAAAGGCTAGATTGCATTCTCAGTGCGTCAGCAAGCGTCTCCCTTTCAGTAAGCGCCGCCAGATCACTCGGATGCCAGAGTTGCTGCGCATCCTCTTGTGGAAGCCGTGCTTGCGCTTGCGCTTGACGTTGCTGGGCTGGTACTCCATGCCGCGTGCCTTGAAGCAGCAGGGGACCAGCGACGGGGTTCGGTGGTGCTGTAGCAGCAGCTGCCGTTGTCGGAGTGCTGGGTTACAGGGCGCCAGCCACCAGTGGGAGGCAGCGGCATTGCAGGGCCCCGTAGTCAGCGTTCTGTGTGGCAACGATGCTGAAGGAAATTGGGCAGTTTTTAAACACTTGAAGGCTCTGTCCAAAGAAACGATAAAGATAGTTGTTAATAATTAAATGAAGCTGACACAGTACATGTAAGTTCGATTTTCAAATTGGCTGCAAAGGGAGACAAAAGAAATCATCTTTTCTTGCACACACTAATATCACATTGTAAAATGAGGCTCTCAAAATCCACATTCTTTTCCAAGTGATATTTACTAAGCCAACAAACTTAAACTAACAGGAAACTAATCAAATGATAGCAGTGAGGGCAAAAATAATATGAAAAATTCTGTGACAAACAAGATCACTGTTTCACTATGAACAAAAAACTCCATTGCTACCAAGAAATAATAGACTGGTTGATTGGCCTATTCTGATCTTTTCTGGAGCTGCATCCTCAAGTCCAAAATGTGGAGGCTGAGGGCTTTTAAGTTTTTTTTTTTCAAGATGGTTGCTAAATATTAAAATTCTAAATGATCACCTACTTTTTAGCTCAGAATATTTCAGTTCAGACTATTCAGAAATGACTGTTAGCTTTTTATTAACAATCTTGCTAGTTAGTAGAGTAAATGATTCATGTTAATAGTTGTCTCTGTGTTTCTGTTATAGTGTCCAGATAATACCCATGAAAAATTATAGCTTTCTGAGGGTCAGAAAAATTAAAACAAAGGACACAGCTTCAGAGAAGGATGCATGTAAAGATAATTAACTGATTTGTTTTATGCGGCCTTATTTCAATTTTTATCATTCCAAAAGTCCACATTTCTCCTTTTAAAATATTTGTTAACCATGTTGAAGTGAAATTGCAATCAAACAGAAATGCAGATTGCATCACAATACAACAAAATGCACGGACTGTCGGGAGAACACTCAAGTATGCATTTTGAAATGAGAAGTGATTGGCCATTTTGAATGTAAAGGCAATCAGCAGTCATCTTAGGGAAAATATATAAATATTGACTGCTTCGAGTGGTACAGTTAAACTAGCCTTCTGAGGTGATCCATGGAGAATTCTATTTTCCCAAGACAAATCACGACATAAAGCAGTCAATATTTGTTTTCTAACACCTCTCCAGCAGATTTCCAGCTTGATTTAAGCAATAACTGATGAATTTGATGTAAACTGCTTATAAAAATACATCTAGTTGCATAGGAAATTGGTTGAAAAAAGTACCAGCACTTTCCCAAACTGCCTCTTCACAAAATGTTTAAACTCGGCTCTGTAGCGTAAGCACTTCGGAATGCTCGTGACGCGCAACGCTCATCAATAATACATTTGCCCACAACGCTGGTGGTCATGCCTACATGTATACAAGTAGTATGCAAGAAGAATGCTATGGGCACAGTACTTTGGTAGCCACAGGTAGAGTTCTATTGGCTGTACAATAGCAAATGCCATATGACAGGCTCTTGGCCCATCAAGATACAGAATCTGTGGGTGAGGTAATGGCAAATACAATGTACATGTACCCCATAGAAGCCGTCCGACTCCTCTGTTTGAAAATTCCAGATGGTCAACTGGGTTTTCCTTCAAGTGGCCTTATTTCACATGAACACTGACAAATCTCATGTTCCTCCCCCCCCGAAGGGGTACGTTTCATGTCTGAAATGAAATGAAGACGCACTTTAACTTACCTCTGAATTGTTCTTATGCCAGCATCTAACCCACAAGGACCTACAGCAGTGGTTGGTATCAGCAGTCGATTCACTACCGCCCTGGTGGCTGCTAGGAATGATGCTGACATGCTCAATACTCAGAGATTTTGTATGTGCTGAAGAGAACAAACAAAAAACAAACTAGTGTAGCAACTTGGAAATACATGTACATGACCTTCTTGAATTTCATGAATTTCTCGGAAACTGGCAACAGGCTTTGGAAGGTCAAAAGGTAAGAACATGACACACAATGAGTCTTGCTCATCAAGTCATAGAGACAAGAACACTGTACATGTACAGTATAAAACAGATATTTTTCAAATAACAAATTTTTGAAAAAAATCATCCATCATTGTCTTTCATAACAGAAACCAGCTACTTTAGGCTGAAAATGAATGTGATTGGTCAATGCGGGATGAATGAGTTTCATATCTTGATTCTGACTGGCCAGTACTAGGCTTTTAATATTCCTTATCATAGTCCAAGACAAAATCTGATGTTCAAGGAAGCAATTTCCCCAATTTTCTTTCTCCTGTGAACTTAACAATTTGAGGTTTGTCATGTTTGTAAAAAGTGTAGCGTGAACTAGTGGGGTCTTATCCTCCTAAACAGCAATACCAAAAAGGGGACACAACTCATAGGATTTACGACGACAAAACTTCTTTAATTCGCTCGAAATCTGGCTTACAGCTTTCTGCACTGCAGTCAGAACCACAACTACCCGTTCCAACTCTTCTCCAAACAGAATGTATAACAATGTTAAACAATTCCCGCCCAGGAACTTTGCCAAACCTTCCTGCGCCCACCAAAACCCCAAGCATCCCGAAACAGACACAAATTCCGGTGCGCCCAAAATGTTATACAATTATACAACAAGCAGGTCTGGGCACTCCACCGGAGGCTCTCCAGATCCACCGGCGCCTGAGGCTATTCTAGTGGTAAAAAAGCTATATTAACGGTCCGTTACAATCTTTATTTCAAATCTACAATGCAACAATGTGTGAAAAGAGCACAGTTTAAATCATGTGAATTTACATGTAATAAAATGGAAACAGCTTCTGTCTTGCACTGTGCAGCTCCACTTTTTCCATAGGGTTGTTCAAATGCCTTGTCATGCAAACCCACAATGCATTGCAAATGTCGAAAAGGTTTATTACTACTCTAACACTGTTTAATTAATAATAATAATATGAGTATTTATGGAGTGCCTGTAACATGGATCAAAGTGCTATACATTATTACCCCTGCTCACTGGGCCCATGATAAATTCCAAATACCATCTGAGCTCCCTGGGGAACACACAGCTTGATGTTGCCATTTTCGGCACAAAGCAGCTAAATCAACCACAATAACCATCTCTGTAATCTCTATGATTTACGATCCTTACATGCCTAAAGACTTGTTGGTGATTGTGTATTTAAGGACCCCCATTTTTTTGTCATTTCAATCTTGCAAAACTGGTCATCCCGCCCCCCCGCCCAACAGTTGATCAAAATTTACATCAATCCCACACCCCAGGTCTAAACTGTTTTTAAACCTTTTTCTGTACACTTTAGTGACCATGATGCCTCCATTCTACCAGGGCAACGCAGTTTTCAACAGTCAAAACAGCTTCGACTAAAGTCTTATCGACAGACTTCTTTGCTTGTAAACCAAAGTAGGCAAGTCAATGCATCATACCCTGCACTTTTCTCAAATCGAAATAAAATACTCAACACCATGCCCTGCCTAGCGATTACTGTGCACCTGATTTCACTGTTCTCTTCAGTCAGCTACGACTCCTTGCAACCCAGGGCATGGGGTTCTTGGAGTCAAACAAGGCCTGAAATGTAGGTGGCAGTTTGTTTTTTGTCCCTTTTGCACTCCCTCATTTCTAGGGATGTGCATTCTGAGTAGTCGCCGAATGTCAAGCAGTTACTTAATCAACAATGTCGAACTTCAAACGAGGAATACCATAGGCCTAAGCATAAGGGCCTACATGTACCTATCTTCATACCGGTCATGCATGGAATGGACATGGCAGACCAATGGATGGGGTCTCCAACAGACCTGAATCAAGTCGGACTTACATTGCTCTTTCCCAGTCAGTCATCCCTTCAGCCGGTACGCACTATACAGAGTATTCGTGCTTGGCCCGGCAGCTCTCATAACCCTTATCAGGTGCCCTCATTTGATAACCTTTATTGCACAATGTGTGTCACAAGTCACCAGTCAGTAAGTCCGACTTGACAGATAAGCCAATCGGAGCCCGTCAGTGATATGTAGTTATTCGTACATGTAATTGCATATGAATGACATACTCTTGCATAATGTACACAGAATGTCCACCAATCAAAGTAGTCAGACTTGTTCATATAATGCAGGTACCTGGTATGAACAACATAAAAACAAGTCCGGCAATGTCATTGGCTGCTACCAGTTGGTGGATGAGCCCATTCAATGTGTAGGCCTACAAATGGTTGGCAGAATCCTCAAGTCAGGATTTCTGAACTGAACTCATGGTAAAATTAAGTGGACACAAGAGGAGGCGAAGCAAGTAACAGCGCATGGTTTTGATCACAAACGCATAGACCGCCAGGTCCTATTCAAAATTGCAGGGGTTTTCATGATCTGCGACTAAAATCAAAACTAAAATCAAAACTACATGTATACATGTGCAAATTCACCCCTTTTTCATGTTGGTATAGGGAATTTAGGCACAGTTGAAGAACTCCAGCCATAAAAATCTATGAAGCCATTTTTCGATTGAAGAAAAATTGACTTTTTTCTTAATCTGTCCTGTAGAGATTCAAAACAATGCGGTTGTAACATTTGAAAAGAAGAGATAGCAGTACTGAAGAGCAGAACGGAGAACGTGTTTTGGAAGCATATGTGAACAAATACTAGGCAATGTACATGTAAGTGTGTTGTGCGTAATGTGTGCTGGAAACGCTGCCATCCACCATTTCGCCCATTGTGTTTGCCAGTGCTTTTCAAAATCACGGTTAGTACGCGCAAGACTGGCAGTCTATGCATTTTACATGTATGATGTAGATATATATATTATGTCTGTGGTCTCGATATGTAGGCCTACCATCATGATCATGTGTATCCACAGTAGAAACGGAAACAGTGAATCACACAAGACCAAGACACACATGTCCGACTTGAGTCAAGTCTAGGTCCCCCCCCCCAACATCTACTAAAACACATAGCTCCATAGCACAGCTAAGCACTTTATTTTCCATTCGGCATAGGCCTAGCTTTCTCACCTCAAAAAGACAGTAACTGGTTGACTGAAAAACCTGATCGCCAGTCAAGCACAAAAGTGAAAAGCACGAAGTTGTGAACCTGTGTGAGCCACTTACGTCAATGTGTCTCTGGAGGGCGCTTTTTCTTCATGACCGGTGTGGGCATGGACCACATAAAGTGTGGACCATAATAGGCCGTTTTCCAATACTCAACTTCGTCTGCGTCTCAGCCGTGGTGTAGGAAACCAATCCTCGATTGTGGGCCTGAAGCGTTTAACTTTTAAGTTGAAATACTATAATGTTAGGATTTTTTGCAACTTACCTGATGTTTTGTGACGCAATCAGACTTACTATTGCGCTTATAACCTCAAAGTCAGGAAGTAAAAAAAAAAAACAGTTGAAGCCTGAAACGGAGCCCGAGTCTAGTATTAGAAACCGGCCATAGGGATGCATTCATTGATCTCCTCCTCCATTATAGAGACTGGATTACGGAAGCTGGATAATTTGTCAAAAAAGTATTACACCCCCTACTTAAAAAATATTCACCCTGGCACTATCCAGCCTCCGCACTGGATACACTGATCTCTATGAAAAATTTTATTATAGAGCTCAGTGACTGGATACTTTAGGACATCGCGTCCAAAACGCGTCCCGCGTATGCGTATTTTCAGGAGGTAGTAAATAACAAGCTTTGCGAATTCGTTGCGTGTACTTTCAAATAGAGTTTTTCAAATAGAGTACCAAAGTGAATACGTCATGCGCACAATTAGTGTATAAAAGGCATGAGCGCGTAAACCAGCGCGTGAACCAACACACGCGCGTACTCCATTCGTTTGCACTGCACTTTCTGGTCCACAGTGACGTCACACTTCGGTACTCTGTACCAGTTGAGGTTTTTGTGCTTCAATCTCGAAGAAACACTGAATTCTGCACTTGGAATGGATAAATTTGGAAAGAATAATTGTTGAGGTTTACGCAGCAGTGAATTACCGGAGATTAACGTCAAGTTTGGAAGAAGGAACAGAAGGGAAATGTGAGTCGCACTTTATTTAGTTTCAGAAAGTTTCTCAAGTTCTCAAGTACTTTATAAAACTTAATTCTAAGCCTAGTTAGGCCTAATAAGAAATTTACGACAGTCTCTCTAGCCTATTAGGCTTTGTAGGCCTATATGAAACTTCACTATCTCGAAGTTGAGACTGTCTGAAATGTTACTTATTGGCAAAAGTAGTTTCGAAAACTGAATGACTAATTTGTCGTTTATTTTCCCCAGATTTCACCGGAAAAATCTCCAAGACAGCCATGATTTGTAATTGCCGGATCTATAAAGACGAACTGAACCCGAATCGTGTGACAGACGATGTGATATGAGTGACAGAATTCTTTTTCGGAGCAGAGATGAAACCAAAGTGAGAAGCAGAGGGCTACGTTTCTGTTGAATGAAGGGAATTCAAAGTCAACGCAATGAAAGAAACTTTGTCTACATAACAAAATTATTCGTTCTCAGTTAAAACTGACTTTTTTATGCCAAAAAGTAATTGTTAAATGTAAATCCTTAAGTCAGGCTGCGAACTCAACTTTTTAAGCTGATTAATAAGTGTCTGTTTTAAAAGCAGCAGGAAGTTAGTTTAGTCGCTCATTTAAAGCTGCACTCACTTTGTGCTCACAGAAACGATTCTCACACTTGCCGCATGTCGGTTTTCAATAAAATTTACTCAATATATGAATGAATTTTATTTAGTACAATTTTTCGTGAGAATGTGTAAAATTAAAATCATTTTATTGATGAATTTTTCAGTGTAGTGCCGTTTACTAATACATAATAAATTGTAAATTAAGAAACCCAGCTTTTTGTTGCACTGAACAATACAAAGTCGAGGTTCATGTCTTGAATGACATCAGAGTTTTGCTTAAAATTTAATATGCAGCATTGCATTACACGTAAAACCCCATTGTTCACTTAAAATTTCATTTTTATACATGCTAAAAATGCTACTCCGGTATTTACATGTACCTGTGTTGTTTTTCTCACTGACAGTTCCATTCCAGTCTGAGCAACTATTCTGTAAGTAAAGCAAAACAATCCGAAATATAGTGCCAGTACTTGGTTATAATTTCCTTTATAAAATTTGTGTTGTTCGTGTACGTACAGGCGCACATGTGCGACCGCGGCGACAGGTCAGGCACGTTACTCTGAATTCAGCACTCATTGTGCAAAGACCAAATTAATTTCTGAAAAATAAACAAATACGTAGCTGCAGTGGAGCACGTAGTAAATACAGGACAGGGTTTTCAGTCGCCGTCAGGGTATTATCATCCAAAATTTCTTACCTTTATCACTCATCCCGAGATTTCCCCATAGACTTGTACTGTGGAAGTCCATATTTGCCGTCGTCCGCCTTGTGCCCTTTGTTGTGTCCCAATTCTGTCATTTACCTGTTCCAAACATGCCATTTTCCGTCGCCCGTCGTGTGTCGCCCGTCGTGCATCACCCATCAAATGGGTTGCATAGGACCTGCAAAAGCTGGGGTTTAACAAATGACAATGTGATGATTACATTCACTTCTAAGGATCTTTCCCAATAAGGCAAGTACAAATCCCACCAGCAAAATAATACTAGACTACCTCTGCCCCTTGACAAGAAAATGTCGCCTTTCTGAGAGTTCAACCAAGTACAGTGTTTTGGGGAAAAACATTTTCAGCAAAAATGATCAGGCCAACTTATACCCAGTCTAATTCTAATTTGCATACTAAAAAATGTGCCGACATGTTTTCATCAAATTCTAGAAAGAAATCTGCCAACAGATACAGATATTCCATCTTGTCCTCTCAATTTCACCTTGAAATCCAGAAATACTAGACAGTGCTGTGGATAACAAACTGTTTATTAAAAGTACCACTTGG